CCTTTTCATGGCAAGAAATTTGTAATTAAGGAATAGTCATATAAATTAACAATTTAGTCAAATTGAGTTCGTTCGACTACAATTTTAATACAACAAATTAACTAACCACCTTCTTATTAATCTTAATAAAATTAAATATAATAAACCAATTGACTCAAAATTATATAACCATAATTTAAACTAAACTAATTTAATGAAATATTTAACTTAGAATTAAAAATCTTTTGAGATGATTTCCAAATATATATATTGATTGATGAATACTAGTGTGCACACTTCTCTTTGCCAAACAATTATAAGCCAAAAAATGAGAGGTTGTAGGAATACAGTTGTAGGTGTCTGTACAAAATGCTTTAACAATTGTACTTTATAGCCTCGTGTATGTACTTTGACACAACTGTCTTACAATTACTCAACTCCTACACCTTAACCAAATTTTCCTCTGAAGTTTGTCTTATTTAGAGCAGCTTCGTTCACTCGATGAAGTAGGGGAAAAGGCATCAAAAGTTTAATCCCTTTACTTTGTCTTTTTTTGCCAAATTTTACTTTATACGTCTGTCTCCTCTATCTGAATTGTCTCATTCAAGCTTCTTCATTGGGTTCCTATTTAAGAATAAAAGAACAAAGACTTGATTGGACGATATTCATGAGCATATGACAAGCATGAGTGAAGAAGGGTTCATCTAGATATATTTTCTATTTTAGTTTTGCATGTGTTTGAACTAGAAGTTTCATGATTTTGACGGAAAATTCTAGCTAATTAGAGTATTATTACTTAGTTTTAGTTTTGAATCTAACTTTTTGATGATTATTTTATTTTCGTAGGGCCCGCATCTTCAAAAAGAATTGGGACGCTTTCTTAGATGTTGTATCTTTCTTTGATTTTTTCCCCCAGTTAACCACCTTCTTAATCTTAACAAAATATAATAATCTAGGGATAGGATGACAATACCTTATGATGATTTTGTTGATGGCCCACCAATCAACACACATGCGCCATGCTTCATCTTTCTTTGAAACCAATAGAACCGGAACAACGCATGGACTTGTACTTTACCTCACATAGCCCTTGTTAAGGAGTTCCTTAACTTGCCTTTGTAGCTCTTCGATTTCTCCCGGATTACTTCGATAAGCCGATTTGGTTGGCTAATGTGAGCCCGGCACGAAGTCAATTTGGTGCTCAATACCCCGGAGAGGGGGCACTCTACTTGGCAGTCCCATCAAAAGGGCTTCATTAGAATCCTGCAAAAGAAAGGAATTAGAATGGGAAGGAGAATAATTAGAGGGGTTAGCTTGGAACACATGATCCCTAGGTGTGACAGGGATCAATGAACTTTGGGACTCCACGTCCTCCCTTATCTCTTCATGCTCAACCAATAATACTTGGGATAGGCAAAGCTGATTGAATATATAAACATGCTAAAAAAACTGGCCAAGAGAGGGGTTAGATTTGTAATCAAGGTATAGCCAAATAAATTAACAATTTAGCCAAATGAAGCTAAAATTGTAGCCAAATTGAGTTGGTTTGGTGAATTCGACTAGAATTTTAATAGAACAAATTAATATAATTAACTATCAATCTTCTTAATCTTAACGAAATAAAATATTAAACCTAAATATAAACTATTTGACTCAAAATTATAACCATAATTTAAACTAAACTAATTTAATGAAATATTTAACTAAAAATTTAACATCTTTTGAGATGATTTTCAAATGTTTATAAAATTTACTTATTATATACAAAATTATAATATATATATATAAATTAAATTCCAAAAAGTGACAAAATTATATAAAAATAACTGAATTTCATAAAACTAATTATTTTAAATCATTTGAAAAATTAAAGAAACTCGATGATTAATCTATAATGTAGATGGTCAAAATTGGGTATCAACAATAATTATCAGCCTAGTAATTACACAACCTAGTAATTACACAACCTAGTAATTACATTAACTTGTTTGTTGCCACAATATAATTATAGTGTTATTACCAATGTAGTGTTTGGTTGCACAAGTATAATCATAAGGGTTTATTGAATTTTAAAAATAAAAATAAATTATCTATAATTAAAAATTTATATTAGACAAACAAGAGCCTTTATAAATGATATTAAAATGGAATATTTAAGACGTAGATTGGCTTTTGATAATATATTAATTAATAAACATATGTCCTTAACTAATATTATAAAAAATAATTGATATCTATTTTTCAATTTAGCATATTTTAATTAAATTACAAGAAAAGTACACAACAAATGCCGTCTATAAGGTAATTTTAGTGAGATACGACTAATTACATGATTGAACCTCATCAAATTGAAATAAATATATATACACTATTGTATTTAACTAATAAATTTTTTCATTCACCATCTTCTTAGGTTCGCGTGAAAAAGAAATTTATATGACAATCCACGTTGAACATTGAACATTCACAGAATAATCTACAATATTATTTTGTGTTAAGCTTATTATTCAAATCTCCACTTAAAATAAGCAATACTATTTACCATAACATGTATTTTCTGAATTGATAATCACGTGCAACGCACGTGCCAAAAAACTAGTAAATATAATGTCGTCAGAAGACTTAATAGATAACCTAAGTTCTAAATTCAAAACAAAAAAATTAACATAATACACTTTGTTGTGTCGTAATTTTACAATCTTTCGAAAAATCATTTTTTGAAATGTTCAATAAACAATTTGAGAAATCACTAAGAAAAGAGTCGCCACTTAATTTTTTAATTTAAAGAAATTAAGAAAACTTAATTTTAAAAGACTCTAATAGACTAAGTCTTTATAAATTTAGAAAAATGGATAAGAGATTTTCATTTACACTTCAAGAAGGTTTTTAGAACATTTGAAGTGCCCGCTAATACGTGGTTATCCTATGACTTGACCAAAATATTTTTAACTAACTTTGAAAAGAAATGAACAAGTAAAGAAAGATTATTTTACTTTATTTTGCTTGCTTACTTCTTTTATTTTTATTTCATTTTTATATATATAAATATGTAATATTTTAAAAAATCACTTGAAAGGAAAAGAACTAAAGCAATTAAAATAATTTAGTTAATTTTGTCAAAATAAAGATTAAAACATTTGAAATAAATTAAAGGCGCTAAAAATAAATCAAGTTTGTAAAAATAGATTAACATTAGAACTTTAATAATAGAATCATCATAATCAATTTATGAAATTAAGACACAAAATTTTAAGAATTCTTTTTTTAGTAGCACTATCTGCAATTTCTTCAAACTCATTTAAAAAAAAAAAATTAATCTTTTTTGATATATTACTTTAATTTTTCCTAAGATAAAATAGATATTGTGGGCAAGTCCCAAAATCATTTCAATTGAAAATTACGTTTAAAGTTTTTTTTTTAAAAATGCAAAAGAATGGTGTGAAGGAATTTAATAAGAGCAACTTTCACATATAGCAAACATAAAAATCATATTTATATGTTATAACTACAGTTTGCATAATTGCGCTCCATAACAAATTTTATATTTGTTATGGAGCTTTTGATTTGTATAATTCGCTAGATACATCCATTTTTATACAAATTGTTCAGTTTTGTATAAATTCATTTATACATTATAATTTGTATAATAAGATTTGTATTTGTATAATTATAAGTGTATAGGACGAATATATATGTATTTGCATGTGTATATACAATTTTCTCTCGTTTTATACAAACACAAACGCATTTTATACATTTCATACTGAAATGTATAAAATAGCTTATTGTATACCGAAAATGGTTAATTGCATACCGAATCAAATAAAATGTATAAAATGCGTTTGTGTTTGTATAAAACGAGAGAAAAGTATATATACAAATACAAATACATATATTTTCGTCCTATACACTTATAATTATACAAATACATCTCTTATTATACAAATTCGATGTATAAATGAATTTATACAAAACTGAACAATTTGTATAAAAATGGATGTATCTAGCGAATTATACAAATCAAAAGCTCCATAACAAACATAAAATTTGTTATGGAGCGCAATTATGCAAACTATAGTTATAACATATAAATATGATTTTTATGTTTGCTATATGTGAAAGTTGCTCTTATTATATATGGATACATTTAGTTATCAAACAAATATATGTATTCCATATTCAAACAATAGGTGTATAAGTGTATTCACCGTATGATTATTCAATATATCGGGAATTGTATTTATTGTATCCATTTTTATATGATAGGAATATATATTTAGTTGGTATACCTGTTATATTCACTGTATTTATTTATACAAATATATTCATGTATCATTACAAGTTTATCATTATTATATTGTTGTGTATTCTATTTTTTTTTTTATGTATATGCAGTGAATTGAATTTCATGTGTTATATTTCTAATTGAAGCTCCGTATATGTAAATCTATAAATAACAATATAATCCATGATTTGAAGACAAAGCTTAACCCAAATCAATATAAGATGTTCAGAAATATTTTGTATTATTTACAAAAAATTGATACTACTTTTTAAATATTTAAAGCGTTTACACACTAAATAATCTTAAAACAGATCCAACCAAATATAGATGGTTGTTTAATAATGGGTAGTATGACAATGCAATTTGGCGTGATTTAAGGCATTGCCATATTTAAAAAAGGATTCTGTCATTTTTAATGCCATCTAATTTTGGATTATATCCTAGTATACAAAATAAATAAACTTTGAATACATGAAATATAACGATTTTATCATAATAATTATAGCTACACAAAGCATTTATGGTAATTATAGCTAGAGAAATATGATAACCCATAAACTATAGTCATTTATGCAAGTTTCTCTTTTAAATATCATACCTTAAACCAATTTGATCGATCAAGCCAAGAAGCTATCTAAAATTAATTGAATACAAGTGAGTTTCAACTTAACACAATTGATTTAAATAAGAAATAAAGAGTGATAAAATAAAATTTACTAAAAGTAACAACGAAAAATAGTTCATCTTTAGGGGAATTCAACTAAGTTAATTAACAATTCCAAAGTTCGAGTTAATAATAATAAATAAAGAAAAAAGAACAAACAATAAATAATGACAATTAAATATTTAAGAGTAAATGAGAAATTGAATTTGGACCTTTCTTGGGCCAAATTTGCTGCTGCTTTCGGGGTTTAACCCAATTTCGTTTTTGTATACACCAGTTGTATATCAGTGTATAAAACCATATACAGTCCACTTTTGGACTTCCGTACACTCGGAATTCAACTTCTAGCCCTGTATTTAGCCTCCGAGGACCCGTTCATCAGCATCTTTTCGACAAAACAATATGGGCTGACTCGAGAAAAGATAAAATTGGGTCTTCAAGGCCCAACAGATATGCAAGAACCAGTGGACTTCGTAGTGGTAAGCTCGCAAAAAAAAAAAAAGAATTAGCAACTTGAAAAGAAAACTCAATCCTAAATTAAAATCTGGACACAAATAAATAAATAAAATTGATCAAAGATGAAACTCAGATTTATACCTATACTATTAAAACTAGCGAACTTCACAAATGAACCAACAAAGTAATAGATTTATATAGAGCCAACTATCCTTATAACATTACATATTAAGCTACACCTTGCTAAGCTCTTAATTCCAGAAACTAAACTAGAATGACATAGAAGCTTATAGCAGAATAATGAAGCAAAAGATGAAGCATTTTCTAAATAATCGCAATGTCCTTAAGATTCAAATGATGGGCAAGAATAAGAACATGTAACTATCCCCAATCAACTCACTTCTAATGCCTTAAAGAAAACCAGACAATCAAACAACATGTAGTAATTTAACCATTTATATTCTTGTCACAACATGTGAAGCATACACATTATATAACTTGAGATCATACAAAAGAAAGAAACACAATTGACATCACAGGTTAGGATCAATGGCAGGGAGCAAAATAACTAACTGGAAAGGTCCAAATTGCATTATGTTTCATCAATTGCACATAGCTTATCATCAAAATAATAAGCTTAACAGAGGGAGAGAAGACAAGGGAAATTAGAGGAAATAGGCAATCCAGCTAAAGGAAAATGCAAACTAAGATAAGCTAAGACCAGGAAGGCTATAGTCTCATCTCTTTGAATTAATCAAATACGAATAACAAGCAATTTCTGACTAAAATAGGAAAAAAGGAGACACAGATTCGATCAAAACAAGGCATGTCAGATAATGGGACAATATACCCCAAGCCACTGTGAAGAAAGGGGAAAAAAGGAGGGGGCAGTCGAGACCAACTCGGATATAGACAAGAAATCTTCTTCTTTTAGCATGATTCAAGGTGAAACATACAAGCAAAACTCGGTAAAATTTAGAAAGCTAACAACTAATATAGATTCCAACATCTAACCTTAAGAACATAGGGTGAGGCAGTAAAGCATTCAACTCATGCGATTACCCTATTTGAAGTAACAAGAGAATGAAGACAACCTTCATATATCGAATAAAGCAAACGAAATCACCTATAGAAGATGATTCCGAACTACATGACTGACTCATAACTTCGTAGTCAACCAAACAAAACAACAGTGAAACAAGAAGAAAAGGAAGAAAACCAACTCAGCGCCATACGGAAAACATTAAGACTTCGAGCAAAACAACCCAAAAAAAAGACACTCGAACCGACAAAGGAGCTTATATCAATGCTTTGCAATCAACAGTAAGTCGAAACAAATTCAACATTCTAACATTTAAACGCCTCATACAGTAGAATAAAACGGCAAGCACATCAGGAAACCAAAGACACGAACAGAAACAAATATTACCTTTTGAAATGCAGCGTTCTGGGACAGCGACGAGCTAAGACGAGCGATATCACCACCACAGCAAGATTTTCGAGAAATTCGTCGAATCCCCCGCAACCCACGAACAAGAAGGAGAAAATATATCTAACTAATAGGTATTTCTTATGTCTTTTATAGCTTTGCAATTCTTTTTCTCTGTAAATTCTTACCCTCAAAATCCAACTTAAAAAACATGCCCCCAAATCACTTGAGCATAGAGAACTATTTCTGGGGAAAATTGGGGCGATTTAGGGGGATGGAATTTTGAATTCATATGCTCTTTTACAAGGAAACAGTGAAAGGGATGGGCAATTTCTGAAAAAGGGGAAAAGGGGGATGGGGACGCGACTGCTGCAGAAAAGGAGGACAGTGGACACTGTTGGTGTTTGGAGCTGCTACTGATGTTGACGTGATCGTTTAGTCGCATGGGTTCACTGTACTGGAAGGAGAAAGGAGACACGATTTTTTTTCTGGTTTTCGTGAAGAAATATTTCACATGCTCACTTGACTCAATTAGGAATTTTCAAAATCACCACTTTGTCAACTAACATGCCCTCAAAAGAAAGAAGTGTCCCAAAACCACACACACATATAAATAAGACAAGGGACAAAGATGCAAGACTCACACTCACAAAGAATCATCTCATGCACACAAACGTCACACCATAGACTTGTCCATATCTTCAATCAACATTGACTCAACTCCATTTGGTTAGAAATCTCAAAGGACTTTGTTAAGCTTGTAATATAGGCTTAGGGAAGGTTAGGATATCATTTAGGTAGAAGTGACTACACCCTCCTTGAACATTATACAACAACTCATAATACTTTCTTCACTTTTCAAACCCATGCATTCCACACTATTTCTCATTTTTCTTTCATATTTCCACTCTAGACGCCCCACATGCAACCATTTTTTCAACTTTTGGAGGATTCAAGTCTCATTTATTCATTTTCTTTCTTTCTTTTTCAAAGGTTTTCTTTCTTTAAGACTCTTTCCATACATCCCTTAATTTCTCTCTTCATTTTTTTTCCTTTTTTTTTTATATCAAGCCCACATGAGGTAAGCATCCCTTCAATGAATTTTCCATAACACCCCCAACTTAATGAGTTTTTCATAACACCCCCAACTTAAGCTTTTAGCCTCAACTTTCGCAACCTCAAGTTCAAGGAGGGAAGGGTTCAAAAGAGGGTTACTTTTTCAAAAAGGACTTACTTTAGGCTCAAAGGGGACAACTAAGGATATATTAGGCAAAGGTGGGATTCTTAGGCCAAGTGGACTTCAAGAACATAAAAAAAGCCTAAGATCATTTTTCCAACAAAACTCAATCAAGACCAACCGGGCAAGTTCTAGGTGACAAAAGCGCACACAAGGCATTATTCAACAACTCACCACACATGGCCTGCAAATCAATCAAGATGGTTCAATATCTTACTTTCTTTTCAAAATACAAGTAGTATTGAACATTTTTACCGCTAACGAACCAAAAGTCACAAAAAGAGTTGTCATAAAATCATTCATAAAATGTTCAACCTTTAAAAAACAGAGAGGTATGCTCAATACTATTCACATGCATGACTATGCTCTTAGTACCAACCAAGTCAAAACCTTCCCAAATAGACAATGATTTCACCCTTTTTAGGTTTGATTGGCATTATTTCGGGCATAGTACCTTGCTAGTTGGGTGGTTTGGGTTTGTGCATGCTATGTGAATTACTTGAACTTGCTTTCTGATGCATGTCCAACCTTAGCCTAGGATAGACCAGTGTTGCCTTAGACTCTCAAACTTTGTTGCTTTGCATTGTCTCGGACGTCGTTTCGGACAGATTAGATCCTTGTAGACTGGAATAACATACTTGAGTCTGATAGTATGAGCAAGGTTTAGGCGAATTTGTGGCTTCCGAAGACATAATCCACCACCCTCACAACCACCTGCTATAATAGAGAACAGAAACAAGACAGGGAATATAACACAAATAACTAAGACACAAAAAAGTAGAATCAGAAGAACGTCAGATAATCAGGTCAAGACCAATTCTTCAACGTACCATCTTTGCACCAAGACCAAATTTCCCACGTGTCTGTTTCAATCCATACTTTGTTCCAGACAAAACTGCAGAAGCATACTTTCTTAGAAAAAGGATCACGTGTAGTAATACAGAGTTACAATAGTCAAAAGTTTTCATTTGGATCTAAACACCTTTCTTCCTCCTAATTGAAGGTCAAGAAAAATGAAAGAAGTTGGAACATAACAAAAAGCGGGAACATGCAAAAGTTTCCACTGGTAAAATAACTGGAAATGGCAAGCACATCAAACCTCGTCTAAACATATTCAGGATATCATCATGTGGCATTCCTCTTCCATTATCCTATATTAGAAACAAAGTACAGTAATTAAAGTTTTTGGGGAAGAATAACCTTCCACTAACTTGCCAAATTGATTTAATTCAACAATGTACTATTCTTGTCTTGCATACTGAGAGCAGAGTCGGCATATAGAAGAACAAAGAGAAACAGATCATGTCAAACAGTGAGCATAAGATATAAATCACAATGCCATCTAAGTGAGAGTAAATCATTGCTTACACACCTCACGAGCCTTTGATGTCTCAAAATCATCATACAGGGCTTCATCTCTACGTTCATGGTCAGCCAGACCAATCATGGAATTAAATTTACATCTGCCAATCTCTTCACTACATAAGCAAAACCAAAAACAACACTAAGCTTTGAAGAGAGGTTCCCATCAATGGATCTCTGTTAGCTCATTGAAGTAGTTATCTAAAATAGACAAAACAATCACTTACATGGTTATCTCTACAACTGGAAGCTCGGAGATGGATTCAGCAGAATCAGCATTCTCAACAAGTTCTCTCATAGTAATGTAAAGACATTTCCCAGGCTGAAAATTTGGAAAGACTAACTTGATTAACAGCGCATTTAGTGTATCATTGTTGAAGTTCCACCTCATGAAAATCTTGAGCTATTAAAAAAGGAAGAGCCTATTTCATTTAATGCCTTCAACATGCCCTTCAATGTGGTCTATTCTCTTTTGTTGGCTAATGTCAACAATGTGTGACCTTAAAACATCCAGCTACTCTACAAGAAACCAGTTCCAAAAAAAAAACTCCACCTACTCTACTATCATAATGAATATAGAAACATCTCTTCAACAGGGGGTATAAGGATTCATTGATAAGTTATCAACAGTCTGATTATATGCTAACCACGGGGCATATGAAGGTTAATTTTTCAACCTTTTCTTTTGTAAAGGTACCTAAACTTTACTTAATTTTAAGGTACTAGCTGCTGCTCTCCAACATAACGGCTATTAACCAAGAGGAATATTAACTTCACTTTACTTTATCAAAATAAATTAACAAAGCAATATTTTCTTAAAAACTAAAAATTCCATTTATAGTTCTATGGAGACTATGCAACTTTGTTTCTCTTTTTTTGCAATTACCCTTTGATTGCATTCATTTTTCTTTTCCACTAATCCTTTGGTGTTTCCTGCATTTTTGTATTCTGCTTCTTTATATCACTCAAATGCCAACAGGGAAATATTACTTCATTGACATCCTTAATCATCAAACTAATGTGTGATTATAACATTAGAAAAAGGTTAAAATTATAAGACATCCTAAACATAAATGAAACTCACATTGTCAAAACCAGCAATGTATTTGTTATCTGCAAAGAACTCAGCAGGAGACTCTGCACAAATTTAAAGCACAAAATGAAAATTAATCCAAGAAAAGAAAAGGCGACAAAGCTGCTATCTTTATGTATGTATAAATGTTTGATAATCCAGCCGAACCTTCATCATGTCATTCAGTATAATCTGAGAAAGAACCAATACAACATTCTTCCGCACAGAAACTGATGGATCTCGTAATCATGCATACATAACTCCGTCCATGGCTCTAACAGATTAGGAAAATGAACTGCCAAATCTCCAGGAGCAACAGCGCATTTTGATCGAACTGTTTCAGATGGTGCATTCACCACAACAGTGAAAAGAAGCTGCAGATTTGCATCACTAGGAAGTAATATTAACACATGTTTAGAAATTTATACAAAAATCTTAACTAATTGATAACACTCAAATTACCCTCAAAATAAGTTAAAAGAGTAAGAGGTCGTCGTCAATAAAAATACCAAACAAATGCATTCACGAAGGGTACTTTCCCTGCCAAAAATTGCATATTCAGCTCTTGACCTCTTTTTGCCTCAAGTTCACTTGGTTTCTTCAAATATCTCCTAAATCAACTGTAGATTTCATTTTCGTGCAAATATGAAAAAAAAACTCATTAAAAGCACCAATTCTAAACTAAAACAAGCCAAAATAACTACGAAAAGAGCCTCAAATGAGTGGAAATCCACCACTCATCAACACCCCCACAACTTAGAAACTTTGTTGGTCCTCAAGTAAAGAAAATAAAAAACACAAGAGGCTCTTATTTCAAGACACACCACAAATCAATTTCCCTTTCTCAATTAATGGCTTGGGTTGGTACTACAAATAGTCCACATGCAAATTTTTCACAAAAGAAATCCTCTCATTCTCATGAAACATTTTCAAAAAACAAGAATCATTTTTAAGTGACAACAACTCAAACTCAAGAAATGACTCAACTCATTAACTCTTTCACATGCTCACTTGACTCAATTAGGAATTTTCAAAATCACCACTTTTTCAGCTTACATGCCCTCACATGAAAGAAGTGTCCCAAAACCGCACACACATATAAACAAGACATGGGACAACAAAGATGCAACACTCACACTCACAAAGAGTCATCTCATGTACACAAATGTCACACCATAGGCTTGCCCATATTTTCAATCATTATTGACTCAACTCCATTTGGTTAGAAATCTCAAAGGACTTTGTTAAGCTTGTAATATGGGCTTAGGAAAGGTTAGGATAACATTTAGGTATAAGTGACTACACCCTCCTTGAAAGTGCACAACAACTCATCATTTCCAACTTTCTCCACTTTTTTTCACTTTTCAAACCGTTTCGGTTCCAATGTCCAAAATACCAATCGACCATTCTAGTCCCAACTCAATCAAGAAGCTCCACCAAACCAAAATCCACCCTACCAAATGCCACAAACCCAACCAATTCCTGTAATAGAGGTGAGGGATGATGAGTACCAAGGGGGATATGAAGGTGAAGGTGAAGAAGCGCCAATGAATGAATTTCCAAGGAATTGACCAAGAGGTCAAATGTGGTATAGAGGACGAGGAGGTAGGTTTGGCCCGGTACAACATGGAAGAAGACAATATGGGAACCAACCTCAATGTGGTGAACCAAGGGAAGCCTATGCCAATCAAGAGTATGGTCAACAAATGGCAGAAGAACATGGTAACCAATATCAAGGAGAAGTCCAAAGAGGTTACTAACACAACAACTAAGTGGGTGAGGGACGAGGAAACTATTATGGGGACCAAGGTGGAAATGGAGGCCGAGATGTTGAAATCAACTCTATCAAGACTAATCTCCCACCTTTCCAAGGGGAATGCAATCCCGATGCTTATCTAGAATGGGAGTCGCTTTGTGAAAGAATCTTCCAAGTCAATGATTTGACCGAGGTCAAGAAGAGTTGCTTTGCCATTGCTCAATTTGAAGGGTTTGCTATTACGTGGTGGGAATACATGA